CTGGGTGGGCGTGGTGCTGACAACACCAAGTCAAGGGTTAAGATCCCCTTACCAGTCATCTTTAAAAAAAAAAAAAAATACAGATTACCAGGCCTTGCCCCTGGAAATTCTGATTCAGTAGAACCGGCTTGGGGCCCAGAAGCTAGGTTTTTGGTAATTATCTCTGGCAATCCTCATTTTCAGTCAAGTTTGGGAACCACAGTATATTAGTTAGGCTAGGCTAGGTTATGCTATCTAACAAACATCCCTCAAAATTGCAGTGATTTGATACAATGAAGATTTATTTTTGCAGTGGGTTTGGGTTACTTCCCAGAGCATCTGTCCTTAAGGAAGACTCACTGCTTTAGGTAGAGAAATTTATATGTAGCTTATCAACCTGCTGGACTCTGAGTTCCTCATGTTTAAGGATCTCATCTGATTAATCTCTGCCTCCCTATGGCATCTGGCACAGGACCTGTCACACCTACTGTGCTTAGGAGCAGAAGAATAAATACCCATTTGACCTATCCATCAGTAAGGATTTGTTGAGGCCCTACTGTTGTGCAAAGCAAACATCAATCCTCTCCTTATGGAGCAGGTCACCTAACTGCTAAGCCCTAGTTTCTAAATCTGTAAAATGGCTCTAATACCTACCCTTCAGGCACGGAAGAGAAAATGAGCACAGAAGCCATTTGTGACCTGAAAATCTCGATTCAAGCAGATGTGAAAACACTGTCATTCTGGGGTTGCCCCTTTCCTGTTCCTCCATCCCTCACATCTGGTTTTCAGGGTGTATTAATCAGGCCCCTGGAATCTGGTACCATGCCCCTGTCGTCACTATTTCCACTGCCTATTCAAACCATCATGAACCTGTCCAGTGAATATAATGTTAATAACATTAAAAATAATGGTGGCCAGGGACAGCCCGTGGCTCACTTTGAAGAGCGTGGTGCTGACAACACCAAGTCAAGGGTTAAGATCCCCTAACCAGTCATCTTTAAAAAAAAATAAATAAATATAAATTAAAAATTAAAAAATAAAAATAATGGTGGTAATACCTCTTTTTTTTTTTTTTTTTTTTTTTTTTTTTTTTTTTTTTGTGGCAGCTGGCCAGTTCAGGGAACTGAACCCTTGACCTTGGTGTTATCAACACTGTGCTCTAACCAACTGAGGTAACTGGTCAGCCTGTTAATTCTTATATTGTGCTTATCATGTATGGAGTTGTAAGTGTCTTATATGTATTAAGTCATACTAATCTTCACAATAACCGTTGAGATTACTGCTATTTTATCTCCATTTATAGATAAGGAAACTGAAATACAAAGAGTTTAAGTAACTTGCTCAAGGCAGGAGCTGGGATCCAATCCAGACAGAAATGCCAGACTATCAAAACATTCTCCTGGTCAACTGGTCTCTGCCTCCCAGGGGGCTCATTCCAGCCCTTCTCTCCACCAAAACCAGAGTCAGTATCAGGCAGCAGACACTGGATTGTGGCACTGCCTTTGTAGATATATTTTGCTAGAGCTTAAGTCCTTACAATATTGAGTTTTCCTATCCATTTACATGGTATATCTTTCCATTAAGTTAGACTTCTTTAAAATCTTTCAATAAAAGTAAAATTTTTTTCTCTCATAAAGGACATTAATATATCTTTAAAAGATTTATTCTTAGGCATTTTGTATTTCTATAAATTGTGTTTTTGCATTTCTTCCTAGTTTTTTTTGTTTTGTTTTGTTTTCTTTTTGTGTGTGTCTTTTCTTCCTAGTTTGTTGATGTGATTTATAAAGGCAATTTATGTTAAGATCTTTCTTTTACTCCAGCAAACTTGCTCCACATACAACCACAGCCAAAGATCCAGGAGTGATCTAGGACACTTTTACTCCCTCCTCACCCCTTCTAATCCGCAGTTGTGTCTGATAGATTCCATCTCTTAAATGGACGTTTCATCCCCACCTCCAGGCCTCGGTGTAGGCCTCATTACTTTTGGCCTGGGGTGATTTCTAACTGATCTCCCAATTGATCTTCACAGAGCCAGGCTACTGCCAACCCTTACTGCACCTTTATGCAAATTAGAAAGAGGTGTTCCTTCCTTATGACACTCTACTTCCAGCCATCAGATACTTCTTGTAATAAATATTCAAATACATGGTGTCGGGCCGGCCCGGTGGCGCACTGGATAGTGCGCTGCTTGGGAGCGTGGTGGCGCTCCTGCCGAGGGTTTGGATCCCATGTGGAGACCGGTTCCCGCTCACTGGCTGAGTGCGGTGTGGGCGCAACACCGAGGGTTGCGATCCTATTGCCGGTCAGTAAAAAAGACAAAAAGGAAAAAAAAAATACATGGTGTCTAGGATGTGAATGGTGCCCCACTGGTGTGATGCTCTGTGTAGTGCGCACCAGCACAGCCATCTGTGGTGGCACTGCACATGGCCACAGTAGGATCTCTGTAAAAGGAAAGTCTGATCGTGGTGTTCTGTTATGGACTGAATATTATGGTATTTCCCCAAAATTCATATGTTGAAACTTTGACCCCCAATATGATGGTATTAGAAGCTGAGGCTTTGGGAGATAATTAGGTTTAGATGAGGTCATGAGGGTGGGGCCATCATGATGGGATTAATGTTCTAAGGAGAACAACACTAGAGCTTCCTCTCTCTGCCATGTGATGGTACAAGAAGGTGGCCATCTGCAAACAGAAAGTGGGCCCTCACCACAAACCAAATCTGCTGGCACCTTGATCTTGGACTTCCCAGCCTCCAGAGCTGTGAGAAATAAATGTCTATTGTTTAAGCCACCCAGTCTATGGCATTTTGTTATAGCAGCCTAAGCTGACTAACACATATTCCTTGGCTTAAAATTATTCAGTAGTACCCCTTTACCATTCTTTCGATATAATTTTTTTCAATAGGTAGTACCTTCACATGGCTCAAAAATCTAAATAATGGGGCAGCCCTGTGGCTCACTCGGGAGAGTGCGGCGCTGGTAGTGCCGCGGCCACGGGTTCGGATCCTATATAGGGATGGCTGGTGCGCTCACTGGCTGAGCGTGGTGCAGACCACACCGTGCTGAGGGTTGCGATCCCCTTACCAGTCCAAAAAAAAAAAAAAAATCTAAATAATAAAAAAGGTGTACAGTGAAACTCTTACTCTAACAACTGTACTAATCACCCTGTTCCCAGAAACCACCCCTAGGGAACCACTTTTACTTGTTTCTTATATAACTTTCTAGGATTTCTTTGTGAGGATACAAGCAAATACACACACACACACACACACACACACACTTTTTTTCTTATACAACAGTAAACATGATGCACTTTTCCTGAACCTTGATATTTAACAAATATTTCATATTTATACATAGTGAGGTTCCTAATTCTTTTTGACAGAGTCATGTCTGCTGATGGACAAGTTTCTGATCTCTTACAAACAATACTCAATGAATAACATTGGATGTATGTGTCATTTCATTCATGTGCAGATGTGGTGAGTTGAAATTCTATCCCCCACCCTTTGAAGTTGGTATGGACTTGTGACTTGCTTTGACTAACAGAATGTGGTAGAACTAACATTGTGCAAATTCTGAATAGGGCTTCAGGAGGCATTGCAGCTTCCCCTTTCACCCTCTTGGAACTCTGAGGCCATGACGCTATGAAGTAACCCACACAGAGAAAAGTCACATGGACAGAGTGGCTCAGCCATCCCAGCCATCAGAGCTAAGGTCACAGACATGTGAGTGTGAGTGTAGCTGACTGCAGCCACTTGAGTAGTCAAAGGTAAGACCAGCAGAAAACCTACCCAGCCACCCTCAGAATCTGAAGAAACAATAAATCGTTGTTTTATTACAGTAAGTAACCCCAAATTATGGGGGATGGTTGCTTGATACAGCAGGAATCTCGTTCAGATAGATTTTCAGAAATGAGATTGCTGGTTCAAAGAGTATATGCATTTGTAATTTTGATAAATATTGTCTGGACTATATTATTTTGCATTCCCATCAATAATGGGTGAAAGTACATGTTTCCTCATAGTCTTGTCAAAAGAGTGTTTTGTCAAACTTAAGGACTTTTGCTAATGCCATAAATTAAAAATGTTATTTCAGTATTGTCTTAATTTTCATTTCTCTTATCTGCGATGTTGAACATCTGTATATATGTTTAAGGTCTTATGTATTTTCTTTTTTGTGAACTGTCATGTTCTTTGCTTACTTTTTAATTGAACTATTGATCTTTCTTATCAATATGTGGGAGCTCTTTAAATAGTAGGGAGATTAGACCCTTGTATACAATAAGGATTGCAAACATTTTTTCCCAGTTTGTCTTTTGATTTTGCTTATCAAGTTTTTTCTTGCTGGGTTGTTTGTTAGTTTTGGTGGCTGGCCAGTACAGGATTGAACCTTGGACCTTGATGTTATTGGCACCATGCTCTAATCAAGTAACTGGTCAGCCCATGCAAAATTTTTTTATACAGATAAATGTATTAATTTTTTATAGCTTCTGAATTCTGTGTGTGAGTTGGGAAAGTTTTCTTCACTCCAAGAGCTATAAAAGACTTTGCTCATATTTTCTTCTAGTATTTTTATGGAGTTTATTCTGACAAATTGTGTGATCTATCACCCTTAGAATAAATTCAGCCACATGGACAGAAAACACAGGAGGAAGAGAAGCTGGTTTTGGAAGTTCTTGGGGTAGGCAATATATCCTGGTTGGGACATGATGAGCTTAAGATGCCTGTGAGACATCCAGAAGGGGACATCCAGGAGGGGACATCCAGGAGGCAGGGAGATTCAGGGATGTGGGACTCAAGAAGGAATTTTTGGCTGGAGATATGGATTTAGAGACCAATATATGGATGTTAATTAAAGTCAGAAGAATATGTGTAATTTGAAGAGGAGAGGGTCTCAAATGGAATTCTAGGGAGTGGTCAAGTTTGGGCTCAAAACACTCTCAGGGAACTATAGGGGCTTCATCTCTGTGGTTCTTGGGGCTTGGCACAGAAACAGCCTCAGAGATATCTGTAGGGTGAATGGAGGCCCTTTAGTGAGACATGTATGGACATCTTTGGCTCCTGTGGACAAAGCAAACAGGGGGAGGGAGGAGGACCAACAACCTCTCCAGCAGGCGTGGGAGAGAGGCCCTGTAACAGGGGATGGGAGCAGGCTCAGCCAGGCAGGCAGTTTCCCCTCCCCCAGATAATCCAAAGCAGGGCATCCGTAGGTGGCAGCAAGTCCCCAAGGTTGGGTGGAACATAAGGAGTCACCCCTAGCTGGTATTTCCCTTGTATCATAGTATAGTGGTTAAGAGCACAGACTCTGGAGCTCCACTATCTGGGTTCAAATCCTGGCTCTGTCTTTACTAGCTGTGTAACTTTGGACAAGTTACTTAACTTCTCTTTGCCTTGGTTTCCTCATCTGTAAAATGAGGACACTAATAGTACCTATCTCATGGAATTGTTTTGAGGACTAAATGGGTTAATATTTATGAGGTGCCTATTTTGTGCCCAGCATATATAAGTACTATATAAATATTAAATGAAAAAGAAATAATTTCATTCATTCATGAATATTTATTGACCAGTTATTGTGTGCCAGGCACTGTTGTAGGTGCAGGGGACACAGCAGTGAATAAGGCAGGTGAAAATTCCTGTCCTCATGGAGGTCACATTCGGGGGGGGGGGGCAAGGGCAGTGAAGACAGACAATATATAAAATTAGCAAGCAAAATATATGGTATGTAGATCCAAGGGGAGACATGAGAGATGTGAAGGAGTTGGCAAGGCTGCTAGCCCAGGACCTGTAGCACAGCGGGGCTCAGGAGATGGAAAGGGGAAGGAAGACCCTGGACAAGGAGTAGAGTGGAAGCCTTGGCCGAGACACTGGGGCTGCCGAAATCCTAAGATTAATAGCCATCATCATCACCATCACATAATAGCAGCAGACACTTATATAGCAGTGTACCAGGCACTCTCTATTCACTTTACATATGTCCTCCCTGTGAATTTTGTACTACTGTTATTTCCATTTTTCAAACAAGAACTGAGGCACAGAGAGGTTAAGCAACTTGCCTCATAACAGTTATTAGGTGAATGATCTGGCATTCCAGCCCAAGCCATCTGGCTCCAGTGTTGATAGGACTGGACCTGCAGATAGAGAGGACAGGTTAGGCTGCTAAGCCTCAGGATTAGGTATAACCTGACCTTCACAGAGACTGACAGAAACACACATAGAGACACACCTGCTGACACCTATATATCCAAGACCCAACATACTTAATACACACTTCAAGGCTGCTCAGAGGGCCTGGGAGGAACAAGGGCTCAGCTCTGGAGAGCTCCATCCCCAGAGCCAGTCTCTCCAAATGGCCTCTGTCCCCTCCACACACCATTCTATGAGGCTCTAGTCCAGCCTCCTGTGACCTTGAGTCACCATTCCAAAGCCCTGTGATCCTACCCAGAGCCACAAATGAAACAATGAATATTATAATCCTGATAAGTTTAACAGAGGCACCAACAACTTCCGATTGCAGCTGGGGACCAAGAAGGCAAGTCATCAAGAGTCTGAAAAACAGAGAGAGGCAGATGGGACTGTTGGACCCAGAGAAGAAGAACCCCCAACAGTTGACAAGACCCTTCTACGTCCTTCCTAACCTCACTGGACAATTCCGAGTCTTACCTTAGGAAAAGCAGAAATTACCAGACCAAGTTGTCAAATGGGGAAACTGAGTCCCAGAGAGGCGCAATGAATTAGTCAAGATCACACGCAGGACTAGAAGACAGGTGTGCAAGAGACCTTCCACTGTACCGCTCAGAGACAGAGTATGAGAGAGACAGAGAGAGAGAGAGAGAGAGAGAGAGAAAGGGGGGGCAGGGAGGCAGAGGGAAATGGTAGTTAATCGGAGAGGCAGAGACTGACACGGAAGACCCAAAAGCAGAGAAATTCTTCCTCATGATCTCCAGGGGACTCCACCAGGTGGGGCTTGGCCTCCTGACCTGGTACAGAGATCGCACCCTGGACCTTGGTGTTATCAACACCACGCTCTAACTAACTGAGCTAATCGACCAGCCCCCACAAATATTTATCGAGGGCCCATTATGTGCTAGGTACTGAACTAGGTACTGGGGATTCAGTTAAGAACAAGACCTTGCCCCGATCTCAGGTGCAAGGTAGGGGTGGGGTGTGGAAGTGGAAGGGAAGCAAACTGCTCAACATCCTACAGACACTTTTCTCAGCCTGAGCTGCCCTGAGACGGTCCCGCAGCTCAGAAGGTAGTGAGCTCAGTGGGACTGCAGTGTTCAAGCAGGGGCCGCCGCCCTCCTGTCAGAGGCTGCGCCAGGAGTATGCGGGAGAAGAGATTACTGCCTTGGGTGAGCTCACTTCCCACCCCCAGATGCCCTGCCTACAAAACCCTGCAATTCTGTGACGCTGAAGCCTCGGATCTTATTTTCTGATTTTCAAGGTCTCATGATGCTGACAGCACCAAATTCTAAGTCGTCAGTCTGCCCACGCCCCTGGACCCAAAAGAAATAAAGGCGAATTCAGCGAGGGTCCTACCACCCACTGCCTCAAAGCTCTCTGGGGGTGGTCAGCACCCCGCTCTTCAATTCCTGGGGGGATGTGGGGGCGCAGCTCGGAAGCCGGGGTGCCGGAGACGTCGTGAGAAGACGGGCGTCCCAGAGACGACGCTGACAGAGCCGGCACACGTGATAGTCAAAACGTCACGTTCCGCGTCCGCGCGGCTGGGACACGGCCGGTCACGTGACGCGGGGGGGGCACCATGGGGTGACGTCAGATGCGGTTCTCTCAGATTACGTACAAATGACGCATTCCCACCGTTTTCGGCAACTACATTTCCGTTAGAAGAGGCGACATTTCCGGCAAAAGGGGCGGGTTCTCACGTCCAGGCAGCTCCGCTTCCGTTCGGGGCGCCACAGCTTCCGACCGCCGCCTTTCCCTCCGGGGAGCAGGAGACGCGACCTCGTGCGCATGCCCTGAATCATCCCAGAGGGGCGGGGCTGAGACAAGGGAGCGGGAGGGGGGAAGAAAAGGGAATTCCAACCTGTGGAACCTTTGGGGTCCCCGAGGTCGGCTCCTTCCCGCTGACTGTGGACGGTACCGGGGACAAAGCTTCTGGCAGCTCGCGGGGGTGCTGGGGTCCGCACGGGGACGGAAGGGAGTGTCAGTGTGAGCGGGGTACGGAAATTCCAAACTCAGAACCTAGAGGCCCTGGGGACTCAGGCGCTGGGGAGAGGGAGCTCGGGCAGCCATGCGGGACCGGACCCATGAGTTGAGGCAGGTGAGAAGTCGCGGCAGCAGGTTTGGGGACGGGCGGACGGGCTGAAATGCAGGACTCCTGGTCTTCGGGGCACGGAGGGATGGCTGATGGCCAGGAAGGAAAGTCCCGGAAGCCTGTGGGTCCTGCGGGGCGAGAACCGCAGCAAGGATGTGTTGCCAATGACTCCGGCCCTGGCAGGGGGATGACAGCTCGGACGATGAGGACAAGGAGCGGGTGGCGCTGGTGGTGCACCCGGGCACGGCCCGGTTGGGGAGCCCGGACGATGAGTTCTTCCAGAAGGTAAGGGGCTGGGGTCTTGGCCTGGATTCACGAATGAGCAGGAGGACCCGAGGAGCTGCGCGGTCTGGAGTACCCCATATCTCTTTCAGCTCTTTTGGTCACCCTCCACAGGTCCGAACAATTCGGCAGACTATTGTCAAGCTGGAGAATAAAGTCCGGGAGTTGGAGAAGCAGCAGGTTACCATCCTGGCCACGCCCCTTCCCGAGGAGAGTGAGTGACGCCCCGGGTGCAGAGCGCATGCTCAACCCGAAGGATTGTGGGGGTTGTAGTTCCACGCAGGTGGGCTGGGGTGGTTTGTTGAGCTTGGGGCTGCTGTTTGCTGTTTGGGAGCCATGCCTTTTCTTCTTCAGGCATGAAGCAGGACCTTCAGAACCTGCGCGACGAGATCAAACAGCTGGGGAGGGATATCCGCACGCAGCTGAAAGGTGAGCTCCTAGGTCCTCGAACGGATCCTTCCCTCTGATCCTGCCCCGTTCCTGGTATATCTGGGGAGTGGGTGGCCCAGACAAGCCAATAGTATAACCAGGTCATACAGCAAGCCTGGGTGTAGAATCTCTGCATCTTGGCTTCCAGTCTATGTATTCTCCATAGCACATGAGTGCCTCTCAGGTTCCTTTATTTACAGTGAAACCATTCATTCCTACAATTCGTGCTGCCCATACTGCATTCTTTGGACTGGAAGATGAGGGTTTTGTCAGGAGGCTTCTGCATATCTGTGGGAACTCACTGATGTAATGCAAAGAAAAACAGACTTTCTCCTGTCAGAGTCTCAGAATTAGTCATTGTATTAGTCCGTTTCTGTTGCTTATAACAGAAGTACCTGGAATTGAGTGATTTATAAAGAAAATAAAATTTATTGCTTACAGTTTCAGAGGCTGGGAAGTCCCAGTGCAGGGAACACATCTGGTGAGGGTCATGATGGTGGCAAGTGACCCCACATTGCAGAAAATGGCGGAGCAGAGAGAGGGATAGTTCCTCACTGCCTTGCTTTTAAAGCCCTTAGAACCACGCCCATGATGAGTGTTATTAATCCATTCACCCCTACAGCATGATACTACAATCTAATCACCTTCCCAAGGCCCCGCATCTCAATTACCATAATAGGATTTCCCACCCTCCCGACAATCACAGTTGGGGTCAAGTGTCTAATGTATAAAACTTGAGGGACACAATTCAAGCTTCAGTGAGTTTGGGGGGAACATTTAATACACTACAGCCATTTTGTGATGTTTCGTTTTCCTAAAAAATCCTATGGAGACAAGCACCTCCCTATTTTGTGTTTGGGGTATGGCCCTGGCCCTGTGTCCTGTTCCCAAAACAATTTTCAGAAGTCACAGTTCAACACATCCCCCACCTTGTGTCTTCTCACAGCCATAGAGCCCCAGAAGGAGGAAGCTGATGAGAATTATAACTCAGTCAACATGAGAATGAGAAAAACACAGGTGGGTTTGTTTTTCCCAGAACCTGGACATTTCAACAAGTATTTCATAAGTCATTAGAGGGCATATGTATGAAGGAAGGGCCCTCAGAGACTGAGTCCACCCTGATCTAATGATTTTCCAAATGGGGAAACAGGCTCAGAGAGAGAAAGAACTCCCTCAAGGTCAAGAACCAAGATCTCCTGACGTTTAATCCATTGTAACACCCTGCTTTCATCTCCATTCAATGAGAAAGTGCTGTGTCCCCAGACATGACCTAGTCTTGGCTTTAGGAGACATGCTTTCCAGGAGCTGAGATGGGGAGTTAGGGTTGAACAGGGACAAAGACATTATTCATATAGGACTTGGTGGCTCCTGGCTCTGCCCAGAGAAGGAGAGGGAAAAGTCAGAATGACTGGCAGTTTTCCTGCCTATGTGACAGGGACATCCTCAGCCCCATGTGCAGAATTTAAGAAGTCAGGAAGAGGAACTTCCCTGGGGCCACACTGATGAGGAACTTCCCTGGGATGACATCTTAGTAAGGAGATTTGAGCTCTGAGTGGCCCCCTCTGGGTGTCCAGTGAGGAATGGTTTGGGGTGCTTGGGGGTCAGGGTTGAGGTACATGAGCCCAGGGCTCAGCAAAGGCCCCAAATTGAAGATGGATCAATTTGGGCATCTTGAAAGGGTGCAGCTGAATCCAGGAGAACAGATATATCTCTGAAGAAAGAACTCCAAGGAATGAGCGTATTTAAAGCATCGGGAGAAGAGACAAGGCGGGGCAAGATGCCCCCAAGAGGGTGTTTCATGGGAACCTGTGGTGGTCATTGGTGTGAGAGACAGAGAACCTAGATGGACCTGTTCTACCAGGCAACATGTGACCCGCAGGTACACTAGCACACCTCTAGTCTCAGCAATGAGGCTGGCATTCAGCAAGCGCTCAGCAAATACATACTGAGTGCCTATGTGGGCCAGAGCCTTTTTGGGCTGTTTAGTATACAGTGAACCAAAGACCCTTATCCTCATGGAACTTACTTACATTGTGGTGGGGAGAGACAATCACCATAATAAATAAGTGAATTAATTTAGAACATAGTAAATATTCACAAAAAAAGTGCAGGGAAAGAGGGATAGAGAGTGCCAGGAGAGGGTAGGCTTGCAATTTAAATAAGACGGAGAATGCTTCATTCAGAAGGTGAAATTTGAGCAAAGATGTGAAAATATTTGTGAGGAATGAGCATTCCAGGCTGCATTGGTCCATTTCTGTGGCTTGTAACAAAATACCTGGAACTGGGTGATTTATAAAGAAAAACAAATTTATTGCTTACAGTTTCTGAGGCTGGGAAGTCCACAGTCCAGGGAACGTAGCTGGTGAAGGTCTTGGTGGTGACAGTGATAGCAGAGTATGACATTATGAAAATAGCGGAGCAGAGAGAGAGAGAGTAACCTCCTCATTCATCCTTTTTAAAGCCCTCAGAACCACACCCCTGACCACCATTATTAATCCATTCACTACTGCACAGTCCTACAATCCAATCACCTCTTCAAGGCTCCACCTTTCAATTACAATAGGATTTCCCACCCTCCTAACAGTCACAGTTAGGGGCTAAGTTTCTAATACATAAAACTTGGGGACACAATTCAAGCTTCAGTGAGTTTTGAGGAGACATTCAATCCACTGCACAGGCAGAAGGAGGAGGGAGTGTAAAGGTCTGGGGTGGGAGTGTGCTCTGCTCAGAGAGCAGTGAGATGGAGGGAGGGAGGGGACAGTGGGAGGAGGTGAGGTCAGAGGGGTAAAGTGGGAAGGAGCAGATCATGTAGGGCCACATGGCTTTTCCTCTGAGAGAAGCGGGGGAGCCTGGCAAGGTGGTTAAGATGCAGGCACTGTGTAACAGCTGCCTCTCAGAGGTGCCCAGCCTGCGCTCTCCATCCTCAGCACGGGGTCCTGTCCCAGCAATTCGTGGAGCTCATCAACAAGTGCAACTCCATGCAGTCTGAGTACCGGGAGAAGAACGTGGAGAGAATCCTGAGGCAGCTGAAGATCAGTGAGTCGTGGCGCGTGGCCCACAGCATCAGCTCACCCTGACCCAGCTCTGATCCTGGCCTTTTCCTCCCCAGCCAATGCTGGAATGGTGTCTGACGAGGAGCTGGAGCAGATGCTGGACAGTGGGCAGAGTGAGGTGTTTGTGTCCAATGTGAGTGGCTGCGGCTAGCCTCCCCTCCTCCCTGAGTCCAGCCCTTTTTGACTGAGGACTGCCGAGTCTCAGAAGAGAATTAACATGCCTGGAGCTGCTCATCAGCCTCTAGGCCAGAGGCCTGCTGGAGCTCAGCAAGAACTTCTGGCCTGCTGCTACTCTCCCTTTGATCTGTTTCCCCTTTCCTGTCTACTTTCCAGATACTGAAGGACACACAGGTGACTCGACAGGCCCTAAATGAGATCTCAGCCCGGCACAGTGAGATTCAGCAGCTTGAACGCAGCATCCGAGAGCTTCATGACATCTTTACTTTTTTGGCAACTGAGGTGGAGATGCAGGTGGGCGTCCCAGGCAGCCCCCATCTGTGAGTCTCTGCTCAGTCAGAACTGCCAGCACAACTACCAGCCTACCTCCACCCTTAGACTCTCTCCTGAGGCTTTTGTGCTCTTCCAGGCTTAGCCACACCCCCAGGATGGCCCTTACTTTCATCCTTAGCTGTAGCCCCAGAATCGTGCCCGACTCCACAGCTACCCTGATGGTTGCTCCTGTATACGTAGCATCCTGCCCCACCCTTCCAACATGAGCCTGGCACAGGTATGGCCACAGCCCTGGCTCCTTCTCCACCAATAACATCCTCCCTTATACTTCTAAAAGCTCCAGTCAAAGTTGCCCCCTAGAGGGCCTGCCTGCTAAAGTCTGCACGGGGTTCGGGTTGGGGGTGCCATTCCCCTGACCCTGGTGTAAGGGTTGAGGTGAGCTTACAGCCCTGTCCCGGAGGAGCTGACCTCAGTCATGCTATAGCCAGTACCCTTCTGCAGCTGGGAGACAGGGGGAAGGGATCTCAGTAGGAGTACTGGGACCTGGAAACTGGTGGTGCCAGGAGGAGGCAGGAATAGGGAGGGCTTCAGAGCAGCTGGCAGACAGGCCTAGAAGAATGGGTGAATTTAGACAGATTTGTGAGGAGACAGAAGTTCACCATCTGTGAAGAGCTTTGAGCCATTTCAGGCTCTTAGCTCCAAGCCACCACTGCACACACAGTCCATGTGAGCCAGGGAGCAGGGGAGGAGGGACATGCCATAGAAGGGGCGTGGAGGCTATCCTCAGGAGTCTGAACTGTCAGATTGCATCCTGCCTCTTTGTTAGTGCAGTTTTTCTCCACCAGGATTGTCCTTCAGTCATTTGGGGTTGGGGTGGGCAAAGGAGCTGCTGGTCCCCCAACCCCCATCATCCCTACCTTCCTGAACTGCCCTATCCTCCGAGCAGGGGGAGATGATCAACCGGATCGAGAAGAACATCCTGAGCTCAGCGGACTACGTGGAGCGCGGGCAGGAACATGTCAAGATAGCCCTGGAGAACCAGAAGAAGGCACGGAAGGTGAGCCTCCCAGCCCGGCCTGGCCCTGGCGCCCCCTAGCAACTTTCCCTGATCCCCTCCTCTCCTGCAGAAGAAAGTCTTTATTGCCATCTGTGTGTCCGTCACTGTCCTCATCCTGGCAGTCATCATCGGCATCACCACAGTGGTTGGATAATATCACACTTTCTTGGTGAGATATTGTGGGCCTGCCCCGTGGCCTGCCGCCTCCCTGGCCCCAGCCTTCCCTCCTCCTCTCAGACCTTCTTCTCCCTCCTTCCCTTGCAGGCACTGGGAGCACCAGGAACCCAGGGCCTGGCCTTCTCTCCCAGCAGCTGCTAGGGGCAGGGCAGAGCCTCCAGCCAGACCCCCTTCCTGACACTGGCCCCTGTGTGGAGGGGCAGATGGTTCTTCTGGGGTTGGCAGCTGCTCATTCATGGGGGCCTCCCACTTCTGGACACAGTGCCCCGGGGAAGGCCTGCAGCATCCTGTTTGGCCGGGACACACGGTTTTGTAAAAAATTAAAATGAAGGAAGAAAGACCCTGTGCATGTGTGTTCCTGGAAGGGCTGGCACAGGGCTTCCAGGTATCCACCCTCCCTGTCCTGGCCATCCCTGGGGCCAGGCCCAGCCCGGGCAGGCTCAGATCAGACTGCCGATGTGCTGTGACCACAGCAGGCCGGCCTGCCCTTCTACTCTCCCACAGGAACGGGTGGAGTGGGGAGGGGTATCCCCCACATCTGGCTCCCAGCACAGTACTGTCCCTGGGGAAAGGCCACTGTGAGTACCTGTCCCTGAAGCAATAAGGCTGACCGGGCCAGGCTGGGACTCAGGTGAGACGTGTGTGTGTGTTTGTGTGTGTGCATGCACATGTGCACACGTGTGTGCATAGTGTCAGTGGGCATTCCTGAGGCCTAGAGTTAGAGGCACCATGAAAAAATAATTGAGGTCTGGCCAGTTAGGTGTTGTAACACCAGGGTCAAGGGTTCAGATCCCCCTCCTGGCAAGCTGCCAAAAAACCCCCAAAAATGAACCAACTGAGGCTGTTGCTTTGGTGACAGTGGACAGGGCGCGTCTGGTCTCAGAAGAACAGGCCAGGCCTGGGACCAGAAAAAGGCATTGCCTTTTATATGAGTTTAGCTTAGAGAGCCAATGACCCCATCAGTGAACCTGGTTTCTAAGTGGTTACCTGGCTGAAGCAAGTAGAGGAGGCAGAGGATCTTACTCGTGGTTTCTATAAGGCACCTGAACTCCAAGCCCCGACTCCAAATTTCTAATGGTTCCTAGTCCTGATGCCTAATTTCTGGAGCGGGATGTGGCTCCCATCCCCCCACACCCCTGGTTTCAAAGGGTAAGCCGGCTGGTTGGAGAGTGGGAGGTGCCTGCACCTGGGCTGGGGGAGGGGTAGGTGCATGGGGGAGTATTGGGCCCCAGGGTCCGAGGAGGGGCAGGAGGGCAGATTGGGCTCAAGGGCAGACCCTGCCTGCTCTGCCTCCATCTGAGGCTCGGTGGCCACCTGTAGTGCCTCCCCATGGCACTGGAATGGCCTTTGCAGGGTGCCTGCACCAGTCCAAGATTTCCTGCAGCTTGGCGTGCAGTGTGTAGGGTGTGGCTGAAGCAGTGGCTTGTTCACAACTGGAAAAGGATTGGGCAGAGGACCTAAATGTTGTCCCCGAAGAACATCGGGATTGGTCCGTAGGGTGTCATGGGGAAGTGACCCTGCCCTCCCAGTATTAAAGAGCACTTAAGGGCCGGCCTGTGGCTCAGTTGGTAGAGTGTGGAGCTGACAACACCAAGGCCACGGGTTCGGGTTCCTATATACGGATGGCCAGTTAGCTCACTTGGGAGAGCGTGGTGCTGACAACACCAAGTCAAGGGTTAAGATCCCCTTACCAGTCATCTTTTAAAAAAATAAATAAATAAAATAAAGTGTACTTAGATCTGGATGCTGATATAGGCAGGGCCTCAGAGCAGCTTCGCAGATGCACCCAAAAGTGGTTGGCTTTTTCACAGAACAAGAGGGGCACGATCAAAGCTCCGAAAGAGATGGGAAGGCTATGGGCTTGTGGAGGGACTGGCAGGGGTAGTGAGCAGGGGACTTTACAGGAAAGAGCTCCGCATTCTCAGGAGTGTGCAAACAACCTAGATGTCTACCTGATGGGGAAGCTGCAGGCGGGGATCCGGCCCCAGTGCAAGACTGATTTGGATCCGGGGCTTCCCTGATCCTCCATCTCTCACCCCTGCCACCTTCATCTCCAGTAGAATCCTGTCCTGTTGGCTGTTATCCACTCTGTCACCTCTCTGCCTTCAGAGTAAAACCGATCTGTGGCATTCACCGCACCACATCTGTGCAGCTGGTGTCCGTGTGCAACAGGTGCCTTCTTCTTGGCCATGCTGGACAGCGCCACCCCTGAAAGGCAGCTCACCTGTCTCACCCAGGAAGCCATCCAGAACCACCTAGAAGAGGTGGCTACATGGCCAAGTGAGGCCTTGAGGCTGGGCTCAGTAGTTTGAACTTTTCCTGTGGGCTGTCGGGGCCCATGGAAGGTTTTTGAACAGGTGAACAACAAGTTTGGAGCAGATCTGGTAGGCAAGTGGGCAAGTGGACCCATGCTCTGGAGATGTGACAGGCTCCCCTGTAGATAGCCCTTCCCTGTGGGAACCTGACCAGAGTGAGGGGCTAGAGGCAGGCTTGGCATGGAACTCCTGGCTTGGCTGCTGTTAGCCCAGCCTTCAGGGCACAGGGTCTTGGTTAGTTGTGTGACTTTTCTTTTTTTTTTGTCTTTTGTCGTTTTTCCGTGTCCGGCAACGGATCGCAACCCTCAGTGTTGCCCCCGTACCAGACCGGGGACCGGCCACGGGATTGCAAACCTCGGCGTCGCTCCCGCGCCTCGCTCAGCCAGTGAGCGGGAACCGGTCTGTATGTGGGATCCGAACCCTCGGGCGGGAGCGCCGCCGCGCTTCCCAAGCGGCACACTATCCAGTGCGCCACCGGGCTGGCCCCTGTGTGACTTTTCTTAATCCATCATGTAGCACAGTCTTTCAGCTGCGACTCACTTGCTCAATATTTCAAGGTTCAAATTTCCAAGAAAAGGAATTGGTCTAGTCTGCTCTCCAGTTCAGGCTACAGTGACCTGCCTCGGAACTGCCTGACCTTGAGTCAAGACTTTACCTTTGGCCGAGGTGTATGTGGGGTGTTATGTGGTACAAAACGCTGCAGCAGCAAGCGTGAGTGTGGTGGCAGGAGGAGTGAACAGCTCCGTGCTGACATCTCGGGACTGCATTATTGTTCCAAATATTTATTGTCCGTCGCCACTGGGCCCCTCCCTGTAGGGGCATGATATGTTCATGCCCTGCTTATCATAGGCTTGGCTATATGCCTTGCTTTGGCCCAGACAATACGAGTAGAAATGTAGAGTACCTTTTCCAAACAGAAGCTTTAAGCACCACCGAGTAGTCTGGCAGCTTCCCTTCTCTTTTCCCTCTACCATGAGCCTGGCAGTTTCCAGATCTTGATTTCCTTTTTAACCTGAAACCTAGGGTGGGCTGCAGCCCATTACACCTGTAAAATGATGTATCATATGAGAAATAAATGTCTTGCTGTGAGCCACTGATATATGGAGGTTGTCTGTTACCACATCATAAGTAGTTTAAACAAACTTACAGAAGTAGTGTCCAGAAGTTGGGGGCTGCTGCAATAAAAAATGAGCCTCGGGGCTGGCGGGTTAGCTCAAGGTCCAGGGTTTGATTCCTGTACTGACTAGCCACCAAAAAAAAAAAAAAAAAAAAAAAATTAAAAAACTTATAAAAAACCTAAACTATGTGGCATTAGCTTTGAACTGGACAGTGGCTGGTGAGGAAACTATCATTGGAAGTTGGAAAGATGATGATGTGTTGTACAGTGGTAAAGCATTTGGTTAAACTGTAAGCTGGCAATAACTAAAAATATAATGACCAAATGAGCTTGGGGCTTTAGGCAAAAAGTTTGGGAAAGAAAATATTAGTAGCATGCCGGGGCTCCTACTGGGTACATTTGACAAGTTGCTATAAGGGATGATTCAGGAAATAAGTGGTCAGTTTTTAAGCAGAAATGGAAGAGAATATAGGAACTCCAGGCAAGTGATCCACAGTTTTAACCAGTAAAAGATACAACTGAGAAGGCCATTAAGCTACAAAGTTTGATTAAAACTCATTTTTATGAAAAAACAAAAACCCAAACTCATTTTTGTGGCAAGGGCCATATCAAGTGTGTGGCTGTTATACCTTTTGTAAAATCCTGTGAACTGATCAAAGTGCTTCCCAATAGATCCTTTCAGTTAGTCAAGATGATTCAGAAAAAAGAGATTAAGACTGCAGCTCTCCCAAGGCAGTTAGTATATAGGCTCAATCTGCCTGCAGTTAAGTCTGAAGAGAGAGGTGTTAGAGGTGTGTCGGAAAAGAGTTATGGTTGTGGCTATTGGCCCATGGAACTGACTGGAATCAAATAGATAAGGGTAGGTTTCCAAGACAATTGCACTGCTCCTCTGCAAAAGCCACCAGCTTGGATTTTTATGGTGAGCACTCGAGACGTAATATGTCCGTTGGGTCCCCAGATTGCTATGGGCATGAAGGAGACTGAGAAAGCTACTCTACTTCAGAAAGGCACAACCTCCAATATCCTCTCAAATGTGGCCAGGGAGAATAAATAGAAAAGGATGGTCCACTCCAGGGGCAGAATGAACTAGGCAACTCTTCCCAGGAAGCAGTCCCACTCCCAGGCAAAGGTGTGGTCCTTCTCAACATCTGCCCAGCTGGGTTTTTAGGCTTCCTATGGACCAGTAACTGCTGTGCGTCTCCCATATTTACTTCCGAATAAGAGCGAGCACTGCCGTCTTCCTGTCCTTGTTCTACTTTATATGTTGGATGTCTGTGTTGTGGGGCGGGTAGATAACTGTGCACTCTTTCTCTCTCTGGTTCATAGGCTTCTGGATCAAGAGAACCTGACATAGAAACTGTTAGAGATCTGAGACTTGAGCCTGATGTCACAATTAGATGGGTGGCTTGGGTGGCCTCCCTTGGGAAGGAGATGCATTTATTTTGCATGCGGAGGCAGTACACAGGCAGTATTCGTGATGGAGAGGGCAGACTGGGGAAGATTTTATAATTGTTCAAAAACATTCACTTGTCCTCCCCATGGGGCCCTACCAATTGGAAAGATTATATATCCCCACTCCAGTGACATCAGGTTTGGCTATGTGGCTTGCTTTAGCAATGGAATTTGAGTGGAAATGATATGTACTGCTTCCAAGAAGAAGCTTTAGGAACCACCATGAGGTCTGCCACCTTTGTGTCTTCTCTCTGTGTCTCAAGATCGAAAGTTCCAGATTGAGGCTGTTCTTTCAGGTTAGATTTTGGAGTGAAGATGGCATAGGACAGAGTCACAACTGACCTGTGGAGGACATGGAATATGAGTAAGAAATAAACTTTTGTTGTGAGCCACTGAGATTTTTGGGTTGTTGTTACTGCAGCGTGACTTGGTCCTAGCTGACTGATCAAAGCTCCC